CCAGGTAGGGTTTTGCTTCTTCTTGGTACAGGGTTTAGGGCTGTGCTGGGGCTTCTTGGGTTTAGGTAGGGTTTTCAAGGGTTTAGGGTTAGTAATATTAGGGGTACCCCTTAAAGGGTACCCCTTCTGAACCCTACTTTTGGCTCTCTTAAAAGGGACCTTATTGAGAGGGTCTATATCCCCAAGGGTCCCCCTAATCCTAGCTCCCATGTTGTAGCGATCGTAGAGCCGGCGACTTGAGCCAAAATGGGTTTAGGGTCTCGGGTTTCGGGTTTAGGGTTGAGGTCTAGGGTCGAGGGTTTCGGGTTAAGGGTTTAGGGTGGGATCCTTTGGGAGCATTGCTAAGGTGTATACCCAGATTGACACCCCCTCTCTTCTAGTTTACAGAATGATCGCAAAATCAGCTGGAATCCAACATCAGTAGCGAAAGTTGGAGCTAGTCCAGAGGCCTTAGCCATTAGGTACTATTTGAGGAGATATTGCTGTATGATTTTAAAAGGACTGGAACCATAATATGAGTAAGTATCCACGCCTTGGTTCAGGGCTTAGAATGGCTTCGCAGATTACGGCGTTGAGGAAACAGGTCTCTAACAGCGCAATGGAAATCCTGAACCCTTTAGCACTAAAGCCCTAAAACGTTAGACCCAAACTCTAAGCCTAAACCCTGAACCTACGCCCTAAATCTCAACCCTAACCCCTATCAGCCCTAAACCCCTCAACCAGAAACCACTAAAACTACACCTTAAACCCAAACCCCTAAACCCTAAACCCTAAACCCTAAACCCCTCAACCATAAACCACTAAAATTACACCTTAAACCCAAACCCCTAGAAACCTAATCCCCAATCCCTAAACCCCAAACCCCAAACCCCAAACCCCAAGCCCTAAACCCTAATCCCTAAACCCCAATCCCTAAACCCCAATCCCTAAACCCCAAACCCAAAACCCCAAACCGAAAGCCCTCATCCCCAGTCCCTAAAACCCAAACCCTAAACCCTTCCAAACCCCTAGACACCGAAGCTGCCCTCCCGCCGATGCCTCAGGCGCACCCCGAAGCTGTGGGAGGCGATCGACGCGTACCTGCTCAAATTTCGTGCCACCCAGCCTTACCCAGCGTTTCTGGCTGTGGTGTTTAGGGTTTAGGGTTTAGGGTTTAGGGTTTAGGGTTAGGCTTTAGGGTTTGGGTTTTGGGTTTAGGGTGTGGGGTTTAGGGTTTAGGGGTTAGTTCGGGCTACCCGAAATTACACAAACATGGTCCTGACAAATTTAGGGTAAGGTCTCAATAAGGGGTTCTATGGTTCATAGGGTGTTGACAAGGGATTCTAGTACATGGATCTTCATAGCTAGAATGGGGTTCCTTGAAGGAAAAGCTCTTGAAGCGTTCGACAAGAGATCTGCAAGCGTGTTGATTGAAAGAGTTGTTTCAGGATTTCTTTCAGTTCCTCACGGGCTCTGCCAGGGATCGGGATCAAACCTAAACCAAGGCGCATGCTCAGCCACACAGCCAGGAGGAGGTAGACAAAGGAAGCGGCCACGGTGAGGAAGTACCTTGCAAAGTCACATGGGTAGTTCTTTAAATTAGGGTTCCTTTTTAGGTCCCCAATATAGTACAGCACCCTTATAAAACGGACCCCAAAAGGGACCCTATTTTAGAAAACTACCCACATGGAAACTCCAAACCGGAACAGCTGGCATCGCAACCGGGAACAACTGCCCTAACCCTGAACCCTACCCCGAACCCCTTTCTCCCAAGAACCTTAAACCTTAAACCCCGACTCCATCCCCTCTTTTGCATCAGGACTTGTGCAATCGCCTGAACACTGACTTCCACAATGCAAAGAATTAGTAAAACTGTACAATCACAAAGCGCTGTTCCTGCTTGTTCACTCGAAGTACGTGTCAGATGACTCCATCCCCTCTAAATCCCAAAGCCGTCGGAGCTGTCAGTTCCACGACGACAACGACGACGAGATTACTACCTCCACTGCCAGCACCACTGCTGCCACGACTTGCGCTTCTGACAATTAGAGCGAGAGAAGTTGCTTTTTCATAGAGACCATCATGAGGACAGCTGAAACCATGCGAGACAGAACACTTCACAAGAACGACGGCGGCAAAAGACTGATAGCCACGGCGAGGTTGTCAGTGATGATACGGAACAACACGAGGACCAAAGAGATTGACAACAGAAGTGTTGTCAATATCCACAAGCACAAGCCATGGAATGGCGTCAGCCCTCGCGGAATACCACAAACTCTCAACCAATAACTTATGTGATGGAAACTCACGCCGCCCCGCTTGCATTTAGCCCTAAACCCTCAACTCCTAAACCCCTAAACCCCTAAACCCCTAAAGCCCTAAACCCTTAAACCCTAAACCCCTAAACCCCTCAACTCTAAACCCTTAAACCCCTAAACCCCTCAACCCTAAACCCAAACAATTTAGGGCTCCGGGGAATCAAGAGCTGAAAGCTTGCGACCGGGCTGTCCAGCTTCGGGGTTCGCGCTTGAGGGTTTAATATAGGGACCTTAATGGTTACGGTTTAGAGGTTTAGGGTTTAAGGGTTAAGGGTTTAGGGTTTAGGGTTTAGGGTTGAGGGTTTAATATAGGGACCTCAATAGTTACCTATACTATAGGGTTTAGGGTTTAGGGGTTTAGGGTTTAGGGTTTAGGGTTTAGGCTTGAGGGTTCAATATAGGGACCTTAATAGTTACCTGGGTTTTTAGGGGCTTAGGGTTTAGGGGCCGTAATCAGTACCTATAATATAGGGACCTTAATAGTGACCTGTACCCTTTTGGTGGCTCCTGACTATAATGTTGGTAGATGCCAAAGGTCGTAATAAGTACCTATACTATTTGGGGGGGGGGGTCCTTACTATAACTTATGGTATATACTCCCAAACCCTGTTCTAATTATTTGAGGCCCCTACATTAGACCTGTACGGCTTCGATAGTTCGGGACTTCAGGCCTAAGCCCTAAACCCTAAACTCTAAACCCTAAACCCTAAACCCTAAACCCTAAACCCTAAACTCAGGCCTGTCTTTGAGGTGCCGGGGATCTTGGGGACACCCCTTTTATTGCGCCTGGGCTCTGCCTAACCCAGGAAAGCCCCATGTAAACCCTGAACCCTCAGCCGTAAACCCTAAACTATACTATACTATACTATAC